TAGCCAATTCCATGTGTTGTGTTTTATGATTTTGTAGATTAAGGGGTCGTTTACTAACGCTTACCAGGTAAGTGCTTATTAGTCACTTTTACGTTTAATGCATTTGGGTTATTTATTTGGTTTCCCTTCACCCGATCGTCAAATACCTAGTCTTAACTCTCTCTCTCTCTCTCTCTTTTTGAATTCAATTAGTATATGCTATCAGTTTTCTTCTCAGGGTATTGTTGACAGTGGTGAGTGTGCCATTTCGCGATGTATGCTTATCTACATACAATTAGATGGTATGCTACTAAGTACTAATGTCGGATRGGGGTTCTTGTCAGCCTTGTGTGTATCTGTAATTGTTTTTTTTACTTTACTTATCCTTTTGGCCTTCTCTGATTCGAATCTGATGAATTCCAATGTGGAACAYACATGTGTTAATGGTTGTGTTTTTAGGGAAWYGAATGTGAATACAGGAAATTCACGTAGGAGTATAAGTGGGCGGTGTCATTACGGCGATTGCCCATAGGAGTATCGTCTTAAAATAACAAACATAAATCAAAGGTAACTAAATTACCTATATTATGTGTATTATCTATGTCTTTGTATCTTTGTTGCCTGCCATATTCTTATGGTAACTATGAAACGTTAATTCGAAGATTACCTTTCGAATTTTTTWAGATAGTTGTGTACTYCCTTTTATCWTTTGTCTGTGCAGCCCATCATTCAAGAATAACTGAATAGGTGTCCTTGTGGAGCTTGTGATAACAAAGATTGTTCTTGAAATTCTAAACCCACTTTTCGTTCTCGAATGGGSATGAATTTTAGTAGGAAATAAACTGGTAAMATCTCTGTCATGTTTTTTCAGCTTTTCCTGGATTTTGGTATTGGTATGAAGATTTTGTCGAGCCTCGTTATGAAGATGAGTGGATTGTTGACTTGACATGTTATGAGGTGTGACTTATTTTGAATCCAGTGAGTGTATGGTTATTAGTTGGAATTAAGTTTCATATCTATATAATACATACAACATGTCTCTCCCTACTTCTGAATATATAGAACTGGTTTGTTAATATGAGTTTGTCTGTAAAGATTATTACCAAATCACTAGCAAAAATGAACATTTTGCATTTTAAAGACTGTATTTACTACAAACGTTGTATTGATTTACATTTTGTGTTCTTTTTAGGTATGCACTCAATTTGATTACGTTTTTGCTCTTGGCAAGCTGCTATTTCCTCCGGTGACTCAGGTGTCCTCTAAAAAGGTTCTAACTGATTCCTGCCTWGACGTTGTAAATCGTTTTCTTTACATTTGCGGCCCTTGGAGGTTTTGCGTTTCTGCATCAACTTTTGCATCTTTCTAATTCCATGTCTTCCGTATGATGTTTTAAATCTTATTTTGTAGATCAAGGTTTTAGTCGGTTTCATGCATTTTGGTCTGATTTGCCTTCACGATCGAGGGAGGTTGGATTGTTTTCTTATAGTATAACAATAATTTGCGAAGTTTGAATTGTAGTACACACTTTGCCAATTTTTACTTTTTTACGTAATGAGTTATTCGTTTTCATGATCTTGTGCATTCTAGTTGATCTTCATATCCATTGTTATTTGATTTTGTCTCTTGTAAGGACCGAGATTTTTATTTTGATAAATGCACTCTCCTTTGATTCCGTTCTTACTCTAGCTAGCCTCCACTTTTTCCGTTTAGTTGGTTTTCCTCTACAAAGGTTCCAAGGGATTCTGGTCTTGACCATGACGTTTTTCC